AATGGAGAAATCTATACATTTCAAATTTGTTAGTAAATGCTAGAATTATCTTCTTATCACAGACTATTGTCATATCATTTATTATTCTTATTTATTTTATCTTCTAATATAAATGTATTGTCTTTTATGAAATATTCAATTTTATTAATTATTTCTTGATTCAATACAATGAACACTTCATCATTTTTAATTCTTCTTTTGAATTTACCCATTTTATTTTTATTGAATATTAATTTCATTTTATTCTCTTTTATTTTATTCTCTATTTTATCAACATTCATTATATTTATTTGATATTTTAATTTAACACCTCTCCAGATATATTCATTTATTAAATCATTCTTTTCCATTTGTACATTCTTATTTACAATATATTTTAATAATATATATATATATATATATCAGTTTTGTGTAATTATTCATTATATTTATTGTTATTGATATTATCTTTTTCTTGTTTCTTTCATCTATTTATCTTGTTCTTTTATTCATTTCTATATATTCTTCTTTATTTATCTTTATTCTTCTTTCTTCTATTATCTCTTTAATTTCTGTATATCTAATTTTCATTTTAATATTTATTATATTAATCAATAATATTAATAACTTTTTATCTTATTTTCATCTAGTTCCGATTATTCATTTGTTTTTCATTATTTCTTCTATATTGATATTCTCTCCATTTATCTTCTCCAGTTCTTCTAATCTCATTCTTAGTAATTATTCTTTCATGTTTTGAATTACTCATTCTTGTATTTGTTTTAGTTTCTTCCTAGATTCTTCTTTGATAAATCTATTTCTTTTCTTCTATAATTATTCTACTCGATCCACTTCTTTGGTGTTTCTGTTTTTGTCAATGGTATTGTTTTCTTATTCTTCACTTTGTTAAAATTTACATCTTTGATATTTTCTTCATTGACGTTGTTTTCTTTTTCTTCTGATGGTTTGATAATTGAATTTTCTTTTATTATTTCAATCTTATTATTTTCTTCTTTCTGTTTCTTAATTTATCTTCTAATTCCTTGCTTTTTCTTCTTTCTATTTCTTTTTGTTTTTTTCATCTTTGTTATTTCTTCTTCTTGTTGTTTGATCTTATCTTTTGTTTTCTTCTTCTTTCTTTTGTATTTTTCCATTTCTTATATCTTTCTATTATTTCTTCTCTTCTTCTATATCTTTTTCTTGTTCTTGTATTGTTTCTTCTTTTATTCAGTCTCCATGGCTATTTCTTCTTGTTCTTCTTACATAATTTCTCTTTCACTTTTTTATCTTTTCAAATCTCTTCATCCATTTTTGTATTATTTCTTGTTTTCTTTTGTTTTCCTCCATTTCTTTTCTTGTAATATCTTTTATTTCTAATCTTTTACATTATTTATTCTCATAATAATATTGATTAAACATTTTACTTGAATTATGGTATTTGTGTTATAATAATTACTTTTCTTTTTATTATAATTGTGATTATTTGAGAGTGTACTGTTGTATTTATAATTATGATAATTATTATTAAAGTGATTATGACTATTATTTTGTTGATAATGATTATAGTTATATCCTTGATAATATCTTCTAAATCTGTTTGTTGGTGTACACTTATTTATATTTGATTTTCGTGGTATTCTTGAGCTATAAAAATATATCTTTTGATAATTTAAAAAAAATAATAATAAAAATGAAAGATTTTATTTAATTAAGATAAAAAAATTGAAGATGTTTAAAGATGTTTTCTTTATTTTCATTTTGAATTATAATCTCAATTAAATATACTTCATTTTTAATCATATTTTCAATATTTGTTACTATCATTGTTATTTGTTTCTTTCCTTTATTTTTAATTTTTTCACCTTCTTTAATAATTGTTCCATTTATTGTTTTAATATTCATTTGAAGAGTATATTCATTTGGTAATTCACTTTTTCCAACATTTCTTATTAATATTTTACATATTAAATTTCGATATATTTGATCAATACTATTTATTTCTTCAATACTTAATGTTTTAATAAAATGATTACTAATTAACATTGTTTCTTTTATTTCTTTTGTTAATTTAATAATTTGATTCATACACTCTTCTATTTCTTCTTTTCTTTCTTTTTCTTTATTACTACTTTTTATATTTTCTATTATAGTATAATACATTTGATTTTCTATTTCTATATTATTTCTTTGATTCTCTTCTTCTTTCTTTTCTTTCTTTCTTTCAATTTTATTAATACATTCATAACAACTATTATTACTATCTTCATATTCTCCAATTTCATGTTCAATTATTGCTCTTTCACTTATCATTTCTATTTCTTCTTTTTCATTTTCTATTATTTCTTGATTTCTTATAAAATTTTCTTTAATCCCTTCTTTATTCTTTTCAATTACATATATATTATTTAACCATTTAATTATTCTTTTCTCTTCTTCTTTCTTTCCTTCTTCTTTATATCTTTCAATTAATATTTTACTTTCTTTTTCACTTTTTTCCCATTCTTCTTTCATTATATAATATTGAATTCTTCCCATTATATTTTCTTCTTCTTTCTCTTTCATTATTTCTTTATATTTTTCTTCTTTTTTCATTTTCTCTATTCTTTCTTTATTTTCTTTAATTTCAGAATAAATTTTTTTCATTTCTTCTTTATTTTCTTTTCCTTCTTCATATTTCTCTTTCATTATTCTTGTTTCAATCATTTGATTGATAACTTCAATATACATTATTTCAATTTCTTTACTATTTTCTTCTTTCATAATTTCTTTCATTATCTCAATAACTTCTTCAAGATATTTCTTGCTTGTATGATAATCTTCTTTGATAAATCTAATTGTTGCTATTTCTTTCTTAATAATTCCTGCAAATATTCCTTTTTCTCCTATTTTTTTGTTAATTTCATTAATTAAAATAAATTCTTCTTCTGCTCCTTCAATATTATTCATTTCAACATATTTTTGTGCTTTTTCATAATGTTTTTTGATTATTTCTTCAATATTTTTATCATTTTCTTGATTATCTTCTTCTTCATTTTGTTTTTCTCTCTCTTTTTCTGAATGTTGTACTATTTCATTAATTTCCTCTTCATTTTTATTTTCCCTTTTTTCTTTATCTCTTTGATCGTTTGGTGTTGTTATCTTTTCTACTCCATCACAAATGACTTTAAATACTCCAAACCCAATTCCAGCAATGATTGATGCACCTACGATTTCTGCCATGTTTTTTTTCTGTTCTTTTTCTTTTCATTTTTTTAAAATAAAATTTTTATTTTTTTTTTTTAAATTATCACGAAATTTGCTGAACTTAACAGTTTGTTTGTTCTGTAAAAGATGTACAAAACGTCTTCATCTGAAAGTAGTGTCTATCACATCAATTAATATCAGAACTAAATCAATCACAATTTATGAATAATTTCAATTAATAAGTACTGGACACTTAATTCTATTAGTACTATATTTTAAAAGGTCTGTATTCATTGAAATGTTCATATTTTTTGTAGAAAAATGTTTAATAATCATTCAAATTTATTAAAAAATAAAGAAGAACTAAATGATGATGATAAACTTTTACATCGTCTTTTATTAATCAATCTTCATTCTCGACTATTATTTGTTTATTTTTCTTTAACAAGTTATTTCAATAAGTTATTTAATTTATTACTAAATATTCAATGGATTTACTACTCAAATTGTTATTTAGTTTTACTCTTACTAAAACTCTTGTGTTATTCTTTGTTTTATGTTATTTACTTACTTTTTTCAATTCAGTATATAATAAAACATATTAATTTGATGATGAGTATTATTATTGATGATGAGTTCAAGTACATTACTATGATTCATTTTCACTTGGAAGATTAATAAAATTGCTTGATAATTATTAAAATGACAAGATATAAAACATATATAATAAAAGATAAAAATATAAGAGTTATGATATAATAAGAATCAACAAAATGAATTAATACAAGAAACAAACAAATATAATTGAAAGAATATGGTAATGAGAAAATAAATAAGAAAGAAGACATTAACAATTAAATCAAAATAAAAAGAATGAGAAATAAAAAGAACCAACTAAAAAATATTAATAACAAACAGATTAAAATATTCTATAAATTGTTAATAATAAATTATTTTAAAACAAAATATGATATTAAAATCATTAATTAATAATTATAGAGGTGATATTTTGTTTAATTAATATCAAATTACATAATCTAAATCTTCAAATAATTAGAGTTTGATAAAACAAAAATAAAATTAGAACAAAATATTATGAGATATATCTTAATATAATACACAGATAACAAAAATAATATTACTTGACTTATATCATGATTAATAATACAAAATGGATTTATTCTCGTTCACCAAATTAATTGTATTCTTATTTCTTTACAATTTTATTTCTCTTTTTTTTTTCTAAATCTTTATTCATTCTTTAATGAATTTATTAAATAAAATCTTCTATTTAATTATTAACAAGTTATTTGTATTTAAATTTAGTATTATTTTATTAAATTAAATATTTCTTCAACTAAAGAAAAGAATAAAAAGAAGTTAATTAAGTGTTAATATAACATATTTATATTATTCATTATTCAGAGGAGATTGATTATTATTAACAATTAATTCTGTTATATGTTTGTTGTGTTGTATTACAAATATTTTTCTATTAACGTTCATTTATTTCTTAATCAAAATGTCTTTAGTTTCTTTTTATTTTGTAATTTTTTTAATTCATTTATTATTTTAATTCTACATTTATTAACAAATTTATTAAATTATTATTTGTTTACTTTATCATTCTTTATTCTCTTTCTTTGTTTTATTGTATTTTCTTTCTTGTTATTTCTTTATTTATA